ATTTTTGCACAAGACATGGAGGATATGGAATATATGATAAGGAAATTAAAGGAAGAATATGAACTTTGGGGACTCAAGATAAATATGTGCAAGACCGAATATTTATGTATTGGATCCGAGGTTGCAGAGTTAAACTTAAGTTTAGAAGAAGAGACTATTAAGAGTTGTAAGACTTTTAAGTATTTAGGGTCAATTTAGTACCTCAAGATGGTACTTGTATGAAAGATATAGAAATGAAAATAGCACGGGGAAAACAGGCCCACAAAAGCACTTCTTGGAGTGATATGGAACAACACTCTAACCAAAGAAAACAAAAAGAGGATCTTTCAAAGCATAGTGATGAATATTACCCTATATAGAGCGGAAGTATGGCCAATGACAATAACAACACGAAATAAAATAAGAACAGTTGAACTGGACTTTCTGAGAAGATGTCTACAAATCACAAGAGCGGATAGAATAAGAACGGAGGAAATATGGAACAGAATGGAAGTAGAATTCTCAATTACAAAAAAAGTTGAAAAACAGAGCCCTGCAGTGGTACGGGCATGTACAAAGAATGCCAGAGCATAGGTGGCCCAAAAGAATATTAAACTGGGACCCGCCGGGAAGAAGACGGAGGGGAAGACCTGCTACAAAATGGAAAACATACGTCGGAAATGCTATGATAGATAGAGACCTCAGAGAAGGTGACTGGGAGAATAGAGTGCCGTGGAGGACGAAAACGGCCTAACTTTTAATGGAAGAAGCCGAAGAAGAAAAAGAAGAAGATAAAATATTAAGTAAATGACTCTCAAAAGTTTAAAATAAAATTTTCTTGTCACCTAAAATATGCAAACACAATGTCACTCCGTAAAAAATCGTGAACTTCGATCAACTTCGTATCATAACAATAACATAAACAGAGATATTCATGTTTAGGACACTTTTTAAAGCCGTCACTGAGTCCATATATTATACGTTATTGGCTAAATCGATAATCAATGTTGCCAATTAAAGAAAATTTGACGCAAAAGTACTCGATGGTGACAGTATTTTCACAATCTCAACGTATAAAATGAAAATTACCATTCAAGTTAATATTTTCTGACATTGTCTGGTGAACATTTTATTTTATATTATATTATTTTCATGAAAATATTTTAAATAATTGGATAATATTTTTGGTTAAATTTAAGGTTACACCAAAAAAATGGAACAAATATGTAAGGCATGCAGAAAATATTATCTGAATTCGTATTAATGAATACTGGAAGATTACAAACAGTCTTTAAATCAAACTTTCAACCAGTATGTGTTGCAGCTTCTGACATATCCAGCCCATGTTCCTAACTAAAACATGGGTTTTTATCAACAAAATAGTCCACAAACTTCAAGTAACTCAGAGAGCTATATAACCGAGAATGGTCGAGATTAAGCCCACTGATCGCATATATAATGTAGAAATAAGAAGACGATCAAAAGTGACAGATATAATCCAAAATATTGCTATGTTAAAATTGAACTGGGCAGGTCAGATAGGGAAAATTGAAAACAAAGCAAAGTTTTGAACGGCGACCAAGAACAAATAAGTGAAGTAAAGGCTTAGCTCAAACCAGATGGATTGATGACATCAATCGAATGGCTGGTTACGAATTGAAGCAAAAAACCAAAAAGAGAAATTAATAGATAAGGGAGGCTTACATTCGACGATGGATGGAATAGCTGTTAATGACGATGAATAAAATTTATTTGTAAAATTCGTAATAATAATTCAGGCTACACTGACTTACAATATCAGAAACCTTCATTTATTAGAATTGATACACAGATTGAACCAAATTAAAACGGAACATATAATTTAATACATGTGTGTTTGAACTGCATTTGAAATAGTGGACCAATATAAAACTCGAACAAAAATAAATCCATACCTGGGTATAGACATTGTATAAAATATCGTTCAACTATCTGTCTCACAACAATGTTGTTTGCGTAAGACGGGTTTGTCTAAGGAAACGATACTAGTTCAGGAAATGAAGCTCGAAAATAGTTAAAACCTCGCAATTTTTTCGTCCTGCATGTATCCAGTTGAAATTTTAACAGAAGGTAGGTGATAGCCCAAGGATCAAAATCTATATCAAACCGAAGTGCGCTGAAGGGTTTTAGGGGTGAAAACTACCCCTAATTGTCAAAAATTATAAAATAACATATTAAACCTGAATATGGGTAAGATCTGGTTTGAATTAGTTAAATAATGATTATTTTATACTTTTGAATAGAGTTCCATCATATTTCAACCCTTAAAAAGCAACCCTTGTTAGAGATTAATATAAAAAAATTACTAATTCTAAAAAAATGATTTCGCCTTGGATCGATTTGGATACAAATTTGGATTTAAGCTCAATTCACCCGCTGCTTTATAGTTTATGTCAGGTCGACGAACCCTGATTGTTCTAAGGGGTGAAAACTACCCGTAATTGTCAAAAATTATAAAATAACATATTAAACGTGAATATGGGTAAAATTTGGTTTGAATTAATTAAATAATGATAGTTTCGTGCTTTTGAATAAAGTTCCATCATATTTCAACCCTTAAAAAGCGACCCTTATTAGAGATTAATATAAAAAAATTAGTAATGCGAAGAAAATGATTTCACCTTGGAACGATTTGCATAAAAATTTGGAATTAAGCTCAACTCACCCTCTGCTTTATAGTTTATGTCATGCCGATGAACCCTGATTGTTCTTAGGGGTGAAAACTACCCCTAATTTTCAAAAATTGTAAAATAATATTATAAATCTTAAGATGAGTGAAATTTGGTTTGGATTAGTTAAATAGTGATTTTTTTATACTTTAAAATACAAATTCATACATTTTCAACCCTTAAAAATCAATTATAATGAGTGCTATAGGTGAAAACAATTTTTTGCCAGAATTTTGCAACTTTTCAACTTTTGAAATTCACCCTTTACAACATTGCAGTTTTTATAAACGAATTTATAAGATATAAATTGAAAAAAGTAGAATTAAATACAAAAAAATTTATCAACATAAAAAGGCACCATATATTCTTATACATTTATATAAATAGTTGAAAATATTTACATTTATAGGTAAAACAATTATAATATTAATTTTATTCGTCATCAATTACATCTTCATCGTGATCTATATCATCCTCATCTTCAATTATTGGTGGACTATTATTGCACCCTTCACCTGAGCACCCAGAACAAGTAGAGTTACAGTATAAACCAACTTTTCTGCACCCACATGAAACACCGCATCCTTTTTTGCATTGCCAAAAAATAATTTTTAAAAGTTCATCGAGTGCAGGTTGTTTGTTCATGCATACGGGTAATAACAAACCATCTTTGGAATACCATCCCCAATCTGTTGCTCTAATATTTTCATTGCCAAGCCATAGACATATGAGCAGATGTTTTTATTCTATTGTATGGGATTTCAAAATAAGAACGCTTAAAATTTCGAATGTATAACGCCCCACTAGCTAATATACCGGTTTTGTAGATAATTATGCTCCGAAATGTACTGTACTATACTAATAGAATTTTCCGGAAAAAAATTCACTGGTTTTTTTTAACGTATTTCCTTTAATTTTTAACGATAGAGTGTTTCTTCAAAAACGATTTGTAGAGGTTTTTAAGAGCTACAAGAATCTGTGAATTAAATCTTTTTGGAACCCTTGGTTTTTAAATGGGGTGAGTTTAAAGGGCTCGAAAAAGATGGTGCTTGATCGTAAATCGATGCTTTAAACGGCTATATCTCGCCAAATATTCATTGTACAATAAATCTAAATGAAGGATAATTTAAGTCATTAAAAAAACTACAATTTGGTAATTTATATTTTTTTCATATATTCAGTATTTTCGGGCATATTTAAAAAAAGAAGGGTAAAAAATATGAAATTGTAAATCGTTTCTCGCTTTAAGCTGTACTTTTTCTAACACAAAGCATTTTAAATGGGTCAAACTTCTTGGACGTATTAACAATACATGTACAAAGGGAATTTCAGAAGGGTGAAGATCGATTTTAATTATGGGGGTGGTTAAGGGGTTGTTTTCATCGATTTTTTCGTAAAAAATGAGGTATTGACCTTATTTTCATCATAACTCACTCAATTTTTGAGCTGGAGTCTTTTTTATGATAGGTCTATTTATGCTCTTTAAAAAAGGTTTTGTGAGTTTTTTTCCAAAAATGCATCATTTTCCCGATATTTGATTTTGAATCTTTCAAATTTGGCATTTGAAGAAAACCGCTGAACATTGATAGGCCGTATTTCGGTTCCTATTATATCCCAAAAACATTTTAAAAAATGAATTGTATTTGTCTTTTTAACAGCTACAAATTTGTTTTCTACAATTTTTTTGATAAAATCCACCATTTTCGAATTATTCGCGAAAAATCGATTAAAAACGTGGATTTTTTCTTTTAAAAGTTGTTACTTTCAATCGTGAATAACTTGAAAAATATCATTTTATAAAAAAATGTATAGCACATTTTTTGTTTAGAATTACTTTTCTAATCGAAACCTGTAGTTAAAACGTAAAAAAAATTTCACCCCGGAGATGGGGTGGCAACCACCCCCTAGGCTTTGGCGCACTTTGGTTCGATATAGATTTTGATCCTTAGGCTATTACCTATCTTCTGTTAAATTTCAAGTCAATCCAGGGAGCACGAAAAAATTGCGAGGTGAAATGCTTCATTTCCTGGACTATAACTGGTTTGACAGCATAAATCGTATATGTATGTGTAGCTTTCAATTTTTATGAGTTCAGAATCCAGCAGCCCGCTGAAGTATTGGATTTTAATAATATAATTATTTGACAATATTTTGTTGGCCAACCACCTACAGCAGAATTGAGCCGAAATACATAATATTTCGTATGTTCCGAATTTATTTCGTTCAATCTGTATAAAGAAATACACAACTCAAAAGCAGCAACTGGGAACTAAGTTTAGGGGAATGTAAAAACTAACTTAAAAGATTACTTACATTAAAGGATATTCATGTAAACCAGGAACGTATGTACAAATTGTTAAGGTCAGTTCTACTATATCGCCTGGACATATCATAAAATCGGTTTTGTCAAGAGAAACTTTCATGCCTAGCGGGTCCTAGAAACAATATTTACAATTGAGTAAACTCAAATAACTGTTCACCAAAAGATTTTTAAAAATGCCAGAGTCGAAGTACGTTTGTGGGCCATTTAATACCAGTTCATACATATATAATAAACTCCTTAAGTTTTTGCCACATCTTTATACTCTGTGTCCTTTTTATCCAGCTTCGTAAAGCTTCCTTTTACTTATGTAAGCTTCGTGTCATGGATGCCATTCCACTATATTTTTTTCTGCCGCTTATCCGTCATTCTTTCAAGATGTCTAACCCAATGCCATTTTAGAATCAAATAACCACAACAGGGTTTCCCATCCCCATCTTGTTCCTGATCTTTGATTTGAAAATAGGTCCTGTTTAAATTCCCCGCAATAATGAATTTAACATATCAAGTGTTTTAGCATCATAGATTTGGACAGGGAAGTACATTTTAATTGGAACCTTTGATTTTCAGACGTATAAGAATATCATATTTCAATATGTACTTTAATTTTCTTAATGCTGTTCAGGTAAGACCTATTCTTTCCTAAATACTTTTTTTTGAACCTATTCTCTATCTATCCATTGTTAAATATAGGTCTCCCCCAGTTCTTTCCATCTTTCCCTATCTTGAGCTGTTCTCTGCCATGTGGGACCTCCTTGTTTCCTGATTTCATCTTTCCACCTCATCTGTGGTCTGCCTCTTGATCTCTTTGCATTGTATGGACGCCACTTTCCGATGGCATTGTTCCATCGTCCGTCTTGGAGACGTTCATTGTGTCCAGCCCATTTCCATTTTAGTTTTGCTGCTTGTTCTATCGCGTCTACTGTCTTTGTTCTGGTTCTGATCCACTGGTTACGTTTTCTATCTCTAAGTGATACACCCAACATTTGTCTCTCCATCGCTCTTTGTGCCTTCCTTATCCTATCCAAATTGGCCTGTGTAAATGTCCATGTCTGTGCTCCGTAGGTGAGCACCGGTATGATACAGGAGTTATATACCTTGCTTCGTAAGTATAGAGGGATTGTTTGATTTTTTAGAACGTAAGAAAGTTTGCCGAACGCTGCCCATCCCATTCTTACTCGTCTCGATATTTCGGCTGTTTGATTTTCTCTATTAGCTCTGATTGCTTGTCCTAGATAGATATACTCATTTACCTGTTCTATTTTTTCTGTTTTTATTTTTATTGCCTCTTGGTCTTCCGTGTTTGTCATTACTTTTGTTTTGTTGAAGTTAATTTTTAGGCCTTTTTGCAGTGATTTTTCATGAAGTTCATTCAGCATTAATTCCAGTTTTTGTCGTTCCGAGGAGATCAGGAGTATATCATCCGCATATCTAAGGTGATTTAGGTATTTTCCGTTAATACATATTCCTCTGTTTTCCCAATCTGTTGATTTTATTATGTCTTCGAGGGTCAAGGTAAACAGTTTAGGTGAAATTATATCGCCTTGTCGGACTCCTCGTTTAACTTTTATATTATCCGTTATTAATTTGTCGTCCAGAATTACGGTCATGGTTGCGTTTTGATAAATACCATGTATCAATTGTCGGTATCTTGAATCTATTCTACTATTGACCAGAGCTTCTTCAACCGCCCAGTGTTCAATGCTGTCGAAAGCCTCTCCATAATCTACGAATGCTAAGTACAGCGGAAGGTTGTATTCATTGGTTTTCTCAATTAAGATTTTAAGCGTATGTAGATGGTCGATTGTGCTGTATCCTTTTCTGAATCCGGCCTGTTCCACTGGTTGGTAGTTATCAAGTTTATAGGTTAGTCGGTTGTTTATTATTCTTGTGAAGGTTTTATATAGTTGTGACAAAAGGGAAATAGGACGGTAGTTGTTTAGGTCTGTTCGGTCTCCCTTCTTATGTATTAAGATTGTGTTGGCATTTCTCCATTGTTTGGATATTTTACCTTCAAACAGACATTTGTTGAACAGTATTTTTAGCATTTTTTTTATCGTGTCTCCTCCTTCTTTTAGCAGTTCCGCCAGTTATTTGTCCTCACCGGCCGCTTTATTTTTTTTTTCATGTCGTTTATGGATTCTTCGATTTCATCTTCAGTTATTTCTGGTAATACCTCTGAGCCAACATTTTGTATTTTCCTCGTGAGATTCTCTTTAGATGATAGTGGTGGGTCATTTTTAGAACTGTATAGGTCTGTGTAATATCTTTCTGTGATTTTTACTATTTCTCCTGGATCTCTTTCTTTATTGTTCTCAGCTTTAAGCATGATTAGTTTTCTTTTTCCTATATTTGTCTTCATTGTTTTTAAACTTTTGTTCTTCTCTATGATTTTTCTAATGCGGTCTTCTTGGTATTTCTTTAAATCTTCCTTTATCTGTTTTCTTATGGTTTTATTCAGTTCGGTATACTCTTATACTTATATGCTTGATAAATACATGAGTGATATTATTAAGTAAATATATTTGTAGAGTGATATTAGTGATTAAATTCGTCATGAACTGGGTTTTTAAAATATTTATTTTTAAACCGACTTCTTATATGATTTTTTCAACACTTCCAACATATATGTACTTCCTGGATATTATCTTAAACAATACAACATCGCCCGCAAAACATATTTCATTTAACATTTCTTCATCACTGTTAATCTCAGCTAATCTCTATTTTATGGTATTAAGCATATCTTACAGAAGGGCCACAAATTTTTTTGGTGAGAGTGTATCACCCTGTCTTACCCCTCTGTATTTGTTAAATTTGTTTGTTTATTGGTTGTTTGACATTATCATCTTTAGCTCTACAACCCTGGGTGGGTCTTGGCCTGTTCAAGAATTAGTCTTCATTTCCTCCTTTCGCCCTGGCTTTCCAATTTCTGACCCCTAGATTCCTCAAGTCATCTTTGACTTGAGTTTTAAATCTAGATCTTGGCCTGCCTCTCTTCCTGGTTCCTACTGGCTCTTGATATGTCTGTCTTTGGGGGTCTCCAGTGTCCATTCTTTCCCGGTGTTCTAGCCACCTTAGTCTAATAACTTTAATAGACCCGACGATGTTGCATTTTTCATACAATTAATAAAACTCAAAATTGTAGCACCTGCACCATATCCCGCTGTCTTGTACTCCTCCGTATATGTGTCTGAGTATTCTTCTTTGAAAACGGCCTAACAGTTCTTCGTCGCTTTTAACCATAGTCTATGTCTCTGACGCGTATGTCAGGACAGGTTTAATAAGAGTTTCAATTGGTTGTTTGACATTTGACACAATGTTTGATCCAAATTTAATTTTAAATACAGTTCCAAACTAACTTCAAGTCAATCTGATTCGATTTTAGTGCCTTTAATGCCGCCTGGCTCTCAGATATAATTTTAATATTTTTGATCTGTCCCTGCAGTTTTTTTTATTAGTTCCTGACGGCACATATCTATAGCTCAAATTTTCACTTAAAAGATAGTAGAACTATTACCTAGGCTTTTACTAAGGTTTAGCATTGGTTTCCCTTTGTATATCCCAGCTCCAACTTCTTTATCAGTTTTGGAGCCGTCAGTATAGCAGCATTGATCTGCGATTATGAGATTCATTCTATTCGATTCCCATTCATTCCTTCCTGGAAAATGGACGGTAAACGGCTTTTGAAAATAATATTTGATTTGCATTGCATCTGATACCGTTTTCAAATATGGATGATTTTTAATTATCTCTCTAGATTTGATCCCCGTATCCTTTTGTCCTGCTTCCTAACGTCTTACCCGCTTTCTGTATACTTCTACACTCGTCTCCTCCTCCATCCATATATGTAATGAAGGGAGGTCATGCATGATCCCTATGGATTGGAGTAGTTGACTAACCCCATACGTTTGGGGCAGTTGACATCGCTCCTGTTTTAATTAAGCATGCTTGTCGTTGACATTTAGACCACCATATTAGTGCTGATAGTGCGCCATACGTAGTCATAGGTCTGATTGCAGTCATTTATAGCCAGTATATCTGTTTGGGTATCATACTCCATGTATTCACACGTATATTTCGACATGTAAAAAGGAAAAGCATTGCTTTGTGGGTTATTTTCATAAAATGCGCGTTCCATGTGAGTCGCTTATCTAGTATTATTCCTAGATATTTGACCTCATTCCTCTGTTTGACAGTATCTCCATACAGAACGGGAATCCAGGTGTTATCTAGGTCTATGTTTAACTAGGAATTGGCATACAGTTTTTTCTGATCGCACCACCTAGTTCTGTTCTTTCGAGTGTGCTGAATAGATCATTACCATATTTTCCTCTTACCATAATTACTATCCGTGAAGGCCAACACTTCTACCGCAGCGCTTCAAGGAGCGAGATCAAGTCATCCAATAGAGGTGATCACAGAAGGGGAGAAAGAACTCCCTAGTTGTTTTGGCCAAAATCTCATCTCCGTGTAGGTCTGTTAGAATTAGCTTATTTTCCAGCATTGTTTTGATCAAGTTGCATACGGTAGCAGATATCCCTTAAGAAAATTTGGTACTGCATTAATAAATGCGCTTCTATATCTAGAAACGCGGTTAATGCAATATTTCCATCATTAATGGAGTGACTGATTTCCGTAAATATTTCCAGTGCTGTTTCTATTGATTTTCCTTCTTGATATGCATGCTGGCACAATGGTCCTTCTTTAATATGTCTATCAGGAATATTTTTTATTGTCTACAACAGAAATTATGTAAGACTGATCGGTTAGTAGGATTTAGGTAGGACGTTATCTTTATATACTTTAAAACATATCTTCTTTGCTTTCTAAAAAGTTTTTTAAATGCTTTTATTATTATTTTAGGGATCTCTCTCCTATAACATATTTCATTTCCATTTACATATATGCATATGACGATTGTTATAAAAATAATTATGTGATAACGATGTGCTGGTTAGAAATATGTACATTTAAATATGTAAAACATACGTATGAATGATAAAAACTATCAAAAAAATTATAAACTAAGTTACAAACAGAAAGGTATTTAGTTAGCTATGTGATAATCTTACCGACAAAGGTGTATAGAACAAATGTCCACACAGGTTAGTATCATTTATAAATTTGATTACTCTGGTATATTCATAATTTATAAAGCAGAAATTTATGAGAATCTCACTTGGGTCGGTTGTTACTTCTGGTACCCCACATTTGTACTTCATTGGTACTGCCAGCTGATACATTTCGGACCCGTACATCATTACAATCATTCGTTCCCCAATTTCATCTAGTAAATTAGCAGTTAGCTTTATCTAAAAAATAAGTATTTATTAAATAGACGGATTATTTACAAAAACTGCGCATTAGATGTATCGTATAAAATAACAACTTGAAATCTGAAAATTTGCTCTTCCACATAACTGTAGTTGATCTACATGAAGAAGATATTTACAGTTCGCTATCACTTTCGGTTTTATTGGAAATCGTTATCAACTTTTTTTTATATATAAATTTATAAATTTATATTTTTAATAAAACGCCCTATATTTTATTGTTTTTTTTTAGAATATGTGTAACCTTGAAAACCAAAACTCGTCTTCAGGTATCAGGTATTACATTTTTATCAACATAGTGATGATAGTCAGTTCACAAACACAACAAAGTCTGGCAAATTGATCGTAACCAAAGTCATAATACCAGAAAAAAAATATTTGAAAGAATTGTATTTTTCAATTAATTACCTATCCTTTGTTAAAAATTTTAATGAACCTAAACAATATTTTAAATATTGATAACTTATTCTCGATTTTAAGCAGGGGATAGGAGCAATGGTTTTTGCTTACTCGAAATCTATTTTGTCACCTCTCTGAATATGATGTTATGCTAGGGCTGAAGTAGTATCGGAATGTTTTACAGATATAGAATGTTTGTAAATACGGTTTTGGAATCGTCGGTTTGTCTGTCCTATGTATGTATGTGAGCAACTGGAACAAAGTAAACCCTAGAGACGATGGTCTTCATTGGGGATTTGGTCTTTTACGGATCTGATGAGATTGGACAAATTGGAGTGAGTAGTGAAGATGGTTTTAATGTTTAGAGGGTTACGAGTTCTATTGATCTTGTAAGTGACGCCTTTGATAGAAGGTAGAAAGATGCTGGGTTGATCTGACGGCAACGTTTCTTTTTTGGATGGAATGGGTTTTTGATGTTTTTGAATGCTCCTATAAATTTGGGTTTTGTGGTATCCGTTTTGTAAGAGTGTTTGATTTATTGAATTGATTTCGGATGATTTCTGATTGTTATCGCTAAGTCTTATGGAACGGGAAACAAAAGTTTTAAAGACTTTGACTTTATATTTTCCAAAGAGGCAAATATAAAGGGTTTAAACAGAAAAACAAAACTTAAATAGTGCATTTGTGTGTCTGTTTGTATGTGAAAGATATTATAACGAGTTTGTTACTTCAATAATCCTTAAATATTTTTAAATAAAATTTTTAAAATCAAATCCTCTTAATGATTTTCTTAGTTCTTAAATTTTAGCTTAGTATTAAACAGCGACACCAAGCGTTCAGGTTTTGCAATCGTAGTTTAGCTAGCTCAAAACAAGTATCCACTGCGCACTTCTGCTTCGACGTTCATTAAAGACACTTGAGTTCAAAGGAAGGGTCAGAGGTGGCGTAAAAGTTTGTTTTGGACTTTTAAAGTTTTTTTTATGAAGAAGATGTAGTAGAAAGTTTTAGTTTGGGTTTTTTTTAAGTGTCCTGTTTGGTTTATAGCCGCCCTGATCCGTTAAGTTTATCAAATTATCAATAAAACGAAAATATAAAACCATCAGCCATTTTGAGATCCTGTATTGTCACTTTTACTTTAAGCCGAAATACCGAGTTACATCTCTAGTAGGCAAGTAAATTACCTATTTAAGTATTATATATTATTAGGTATTTATAATTAGGTATAGTCATTAAATTTATTCTTATATTTTTTTATTTGTAAATTCAGATTATCATGGATCAGTTGTGTGTAACTAGGTATTTATATACTTTTATATGCTTTTTCTTATTTATAGTGTATTTATATTCTTTTTGTAAATAAGTAATTAGATTAACTGTACATAATTGGTGGTGGGTATTTTAGGGTAAATTTAGACTGTATATACTTGGATAGGGGTTAAATTTTGGGTGAAAACTAAATATTTCAATTAATACCTGTTTCCCTTTTTATTTCAGCAAATAGCTTTACAAGATACCTTGGAAAGTTAATGTTAATACTTTCCTGGCGCCCACTCACATTTTGGAGCAACTTCTATAATCACTTTTATTCACATTAGTTATATACCTATAGATTATTTATTACCTTGTCATTAATCTACGGTCTCTGTAGGGCATGCATATTGGCCGAATCCTCATTTGAATATCAAGTAATCACTCTGCGGCACCTTCTGCTAGCCAGCTTTAAATTATATCTTATCTTTTACATTACCCCAAATACTTGTGTTCCATTACACATACATACTTTTATTACATTGACATCCCAAACCTCGAAGTCCACACATTTTTTGTTACAATATGGCACGGAAACAAGTCCATCAGCCACAGAATGTTTTATTTATGTTTAAAGATATTTTTTTGTTTTTGTTTGTTTATTTTTTTTTAGATATATGTATAAATCACTGAAGTTATACTAATTTATATTTCTTTCTTTTACATCTTTAATAAAATTTATTAGCAATTCTGAGGTTTCCCTCTTCTTCTCAACCAATAGAGCAATAATATAATCCACATTCCAAAACTATGGTGAGATAAAACGTGTCAGAAAACAGCCAGACACAGAAAATTAACTTATTTTAAATATAAGCAAAATCCTACATTAAGTAACTTAATAGAATATAAAGATATAGACGCATTAGCGAAGAAAACTTTTAAGGGAGAAAAAAGAAAACTGAGGAGAGTATTGCGAACGTCTAAATTAAAAAACTCCTATTAAGGAGATATGGAGAAAAGTAAATTGATTCAAAAATCGAAAACAATCAATTTACCTATTGATGCGAACGAACTCTAGATAACAGATTTTTACAAAAAAAATTCACTAGTTTAGGTTCCAAATAATTATATAAATTCTATAGTTACTGTTTTTAGAAACAACTTTCACTTAGAACTTCCGTTTTACCTATGGGAACTAAGAAGGGTCTTCAAACAAAATAATAATTCTGCTTTTGGTAAATACAATATATCCTATTCTATAATCTCTAATATGACAAAAGATTACAAAATCCTGTTTCTTAAGGCTCTAAATATTTTTTCAAAAAAAAACACCAGTTCCTGGGAGCTGAAAAGAATATATTATAATACCTATAAGAAATCCTGGCAAACGAGAAGATGATTACAATTCATATCGGCCAATATCTCTATCATCTTTATTATTAAAATCCTGGAAAGGATAATTCAAAATAGATTAAACACTGGTTAAAATTTAATAACATTCTCCCAAATTTCCAATTTGGATTTCGTAAATTTAAATTTATCTAAAATGCTATTACTGCTCTAGTAACAGCCGTGTAAGCCAACTTTACGGGAACCTCATCCACTGCAGCCGAATTTGTGGATGTATCATTTGCTTATGACATTTACATTGGAAATTAAGATATCCTTGAACAAAAGATATTATCAGTTGGGATACCAATTGCTATATTATCTGTTTTAAAAACCTTATACTCGGATAGATTGATTTATTTAAAAATCTATGAGAATTTTCTCATAGATTAAAAATACTACAATTCGCAGATTATGTTGTACTGTATTCGACAGACAAATCAATTGATATTTCTAAAAATAATTTAACATCAGCTTTTTTATCAGGATATACATATTATGAATCAAAGGGATTAAAGATATCAGAATCTAAGACAGAAATCTAATATTTCTCGTATAATAATAATTATAGAGAAAGAATTAACAACTAAAAAGAAAACCAATAATCCCCACCCGACACTAATAGACGCAGACGGTAACCTTATATCAGACGACTTGAAGCTCATTGACACATGGAAAGATTACGTAGAACGACTTTTTAACGATAAACGCAGAGCGACAATGGACCAAGATGACGACATGTATGGACCCGAAATACTAAGGTCTGAAGCGGGAAAAGCCATTTCATTGCTAAAAAATGACAAAACACCAGGTCCCGACAACATCAGGGCGAGATCATAAAACTCCTATGCGAAACGGATGACCACCAAGTTCAAAACACTGTAATCAACACCGCTTAATAAGCTTGATAAATCACATTACCAAAATCATACACAATAGAATATATAACAAATGCGAAGCAAATATATCGGAGTCATAGTTCGGATTCCGAAGCGCATTGGGCACAAGAGAGGCGATCTTCAGTCTGCAAGTTTTAATTCAAAGATGCAGAGACATGCACAAGGACGTCCACTTGTGCTTCATCAACTTCTCCAAGGCGTTTGACAAGGTCAAACATGATAAACTCATGGACATGCTTAGGAAGATGCATATTGATGGCAATGATCTGCACATAATAACCAGTCTCTATTGGAACCAAAGTAATGAGATAAAGATGGGCAACTTACACAGTGGGAAGATAGATATTAAAAAGGGTGTACGACAGGGATGCGTCCTCTCGCCGCTCCTGTTCAATATATACTCTGAACAAATCTTCAGAGAAGCACTGGGAGAAGTTTCGGAGGGTATCATAGTAAACGGAGAGGTAATCAATAATATTAGATATGCTGACGACACAGTTATTATCGCAAATGACTGCAACGAGCTTCAAAGACTCATGCAAAGCATACACACAGCAAGTCAAGAATATCGTCCGAAGCAACGTCCGAAACGGATAGGGCAAAGGAAGAAGAAGAAGATAATAATAATAATAAGTTAGTATGTAAAGGTAATGGATTTTGACAAGAGCTATGAGTCCTGCCGATTTAGTACACAAGTTTACCTATTATTTACAAGGTAATAGCTCTTGTCAAAATCCGTTAGCTATACCTACACGATTTATCTAGACTACAGAAATCTTTCAAAATATAAAGAGGTTCTATATAAGAATCAACTTCTACCAGTTTACACTGAAAACCACCATGTATTGTTCTTAACAAAAATCAAGACAGAATTTCTTAATGACGTCCATGGTCCCATGTTTAATGCAGAAGTTCAGGAGAGATGTCCTAAGTATTATTATATGTTTACTGACGGTTCGAAGAAAGAAGGTAATACTACGTGCGGCGAATAACAACACAATTCTGGACAACAGTATAAATATAAGTTGCCTGATGAAGCCACCATCTACACATTAAAAATGCTGACATTAAAGTTTGCTCTTTTTCACGTTTTGACAAATAAAATGCACGACTGTATAATATTTTCAGAGAATAAAAGTGCAGTAGAAAGAATAGGTTTAACAAATAAATCCAAGTAATTAACTAATCTTGGTATAGAGATTTAAAATTGTATTACAAGGTTTCAAAGTTCGAAAGAGAACTTATTATTGCTTATATCAAAGGCTATTCTGGGATGAAGGTAAATATAATAGCAGATGTCTTGGTCAAAAATACGTTATCAAGCTGAGAAACTGTAAACAACAATATTTTACCGGCAGTAGATGTAGATGCATGTATTAAAAATCGGCTTAAATTAAAGTGGCAAGCAAATTATGCAAAATCCGAAAGGGAGTCATCATTTAAACAATGGCGATCCAAATTTTTCCAAAAAAGTTGGTTTGATTAATTACTATTTATAACTGGGAATAAGCCACACTTAAAGATAAAAATACGTTTATTGACGTTTCAATTTTCAATTCGGAAATCGTTCTCAAAATACAAACAGTAAATTAAACAAATTTTGTTTTTTGTTACATAGTGAAAAAATTCTTCTAATAATTTAATTTTATCTGACTCATTTATATTGACAATTCAGACATACATTATGCATTTTAAAGTAGACGACTTTAAAATGATATTGCCAATATTGTTGAGTTGCGCTCCTGGGACGACTTTACTTATAAGATAGTTCATTCGATTACATGAAGTCAACTTTAACTTGAGAATATCCGTCAGAAAAAATCATAGCGTGTAATTCGTCTTTAAAAAGACAAACACATGACATGATGACAGTAAAATTCTTCTGTTAGTGATTCCATGGTAAATTATGAGGGAAAAACCAGGAAAAAAACCTCATAATACTATCCCGACATTGTATTTGTTCGTGAATTTAGTTTACCTTCAACAAACATCAAAATTCTGATTTTATATGTTACGTTATTTAAAAAACATAAATGATGTATCCTCTATATGTTACTGACTTACTAATACTGGTATTTTCTTATTAATAACTTCCTCTTTCAATATTGGTAACCAGATCCTACTACATTCTGCCGAGGAATTTGCGACACAATTGGCCTCATTTAGCATAATTAGAGCCGGTTCTTTGTTTTCTTCATTTTTATAAATGAGTCAGATAAAATTAAATTATTAGAAGATTTTTTTCACTATGTAACAAAAAACAAAATTTGTTTAATTTACTGTTTGTATTTTGAAAACGATTTCCGAATTGGAAATTGAAACGTCAATAAACGTATTTTTATCTTTAATTGTGGCTTATTCCCAGTTATAAATAGTAATTAATTTACAATGCCACAAGAAAATAGCTTCAGAACAATATTAAAAAAGTTGGTTTGGTTTAGAGTCTAGCAAAACTTTTATAAAAACTATTAACAGAATAAGGTCAAACTAAGCTCTAGCTAGCACAGTGATACTCAACCTGCGGCCCGCGGGCGTTTTTTATGCGGCCCGAAGGCTAACTAAAAATTTTTGACTTTTTTTATCAAATCCTGAGAAAACTAATTAATATTTTTGAAAACTTTAAATGCAGAATGAAATATTTCATTATTACCCAGAGCCTAAATTCCCTTAGAATAAATAAAAAGTTTCTTTTGAATGAATTATTTGAAATTAAAAATCACAATAAATTTTCTGCCCTTTCACCCCTGTAACTTATTAAAATAGACATAGAAATTTTCATGGACTTTCTGCCCTCGGTAATAATGTAATCTTTTACTTTGTGTTTAAATTTTTCAAAAATACTTATTAGTTTTCTCAGAATTCGAAAAACCAATGCATTTTTATCCTGGCTCGCTTTTTTATCCTGACTTGAATATTATTTTCAGCTGGAAATGCAATACATATATAAACTTTTCTGCAATTGCAGTAAATTTTCATTTGGTCATTAGCCATATTATCTGTAACTTTTCGTTTTGTCTATAGTTTCTGACAACAATTTTACACAGCCTGACATTTTTTTTTATTTTACTGACTATGCCGCGCCCCTTGTGATGCCGCCTGATGCGACTGCCTCGCCGTATCATAGCACAGCACGGCCCTGTACCCCTGTAACTTGTTATATTCTGCGTTTAAATTTTTCCAAAATTCTTATTAGTTTTCAAATAATTAAAAAAATTCATGCATTTAAAAAGCATTTGATCGAAATTTTGCGAAAGTATTATACATTTTTGAAATCAGTATTTTGAAAATAATGTATATATATATATATATAATATATAATATAAATTTTCGTTTCGGTGGGTTGGAGTCAATAAAAGGGGCTGTTCTAGAAGACTATTTTTTATATCTCAAGCTTTCAAATGTTATTACATATTATATATATATATATATATATATATATATATATATATATATATATATATATATATATATGTATGTATGTATTTATCATCGAGCAATAAGACAAAAGAGGGAATGTAAAGGTAGTGGGGGTAAACATATTGATAGACAGGAAGTGCCATCTTGAGAGGCCACTTTAGACAAGGATAGACAGTCTCTTTCCTTGTTTAAGAAGTCAAATTTAGTTAGGTTATGTTATTGTTTGTCCCAACTGTCACATGAAATTTTATTTATATTGAAATCTTTTACCTATTGTGTCACTTTTTAGACTATTATAGTTAATATTTAATTAAAACTTTCTCGTCTGAAAAATATTTTATAGCTATTGTTAATAAGTGTTGGAAAATTTAAATTTAGCGCCTTTGCATTTCCGGATATGTCCGCCATCAGAGGCCACTTTTTTGGTCTCCTTTTCATAACGATTAGATTCCCTCTTTTATCTTTTTGCTCGATGGTATTTATACTACTTCACCTAGATTGCGGCCCGCAAGCTGTGGCAATAGCTACTATGCGTCCCAGGGAAAAAAAGGTTGAGTATCGCTGAGTTAGCACCTTCAAGAAACTGCAAAATGAATATATCAGACTCTTCAAACTGTACCTGTGGAAAATATAGAGATTTAACACACATCCTATTAGAATGTGAAAAATAATACGAAAGCGTTGCATGTTTTTATGAAGACTGGTGAAAACTAAATGTCTGCTTCCCATTTCATTTAAATGGGAAGAAGAAGAAAAAGAAAACGAAAAAAAGATTTAAAAGAAAGACACTTACATTTTTAGTTTAATTTTACTACTAACTCTAACTCTGATTGTAGGTTTGTAAATAAAAATGACAAAATAGTCTGGTCGATTGGCTATGCAAAAAGAAAAAAAAAGACTATTAATTATTTATCGTGTTAGTATATATTAAGACATACATCTAAATAATAAAAAATCTAAATATATTTTTAAAAGTCTATATGATTTCATAAATAAATGTATTAAAGAAATTATTACAAGATATACCTTGACAGTTTTTACGCCATAAGCTTCCACAATTCCTGATCGTGGCTCAATGTCAAACTCACAGGTATTATCTGTATTGCAGGCTCTATTCGATATAGAAATGTTATAATCTATTGGAACTTGTGAATCGTTAAACAATTGTATTTCCATGGTTTGTACATTTCCTAGAAGAAAACAACAATATCATAGCAGTAGTTTACAAGCCAATCAGCGCTTATTATGTGCACTTTAGGGTTAACTAATCAGCGCGACGAAGGACTGGTGTGAATTAATTTAAGGTTACGACTTTTTCCTACGAATGTAGGAAGTATTATAATATTATTATTAATATTTTATATTTATAAGTCAGTCGAATTTGTACCACCCACCCACCAAACATCTGTGTATTTTACTAGGAAAGTAATATTTTTGTAATTAAAGTTTAATTTTGTATTATTTCGAATTAAAAGAACTCCGTGAAAAGTAAACTGCGTAACTTTCCATACGTAACAATGGTTAATATATTTATTTTTCTGTAAAACTATAAAGATTATTTTTAAAATATATCAACTTCTTCTCATAGTGACATCATTTATTAAATTTATTTAAGGAATCTTTTAAATTTATTTTTATCAATTGCTATTTTAAAAACCATACACTAGATATCGCACTATTTATGTAAAATAAACCTACTGTTCCAAGAAGTTCTTCGTTGTTCGTGCGTTGATGTTTTGGCTTATATTATGACAATTATCAATTAAAGGTGACTAATCTACAAATTGAACTAAACGGTAGCGGCAACCATGTAAAAGTTCATTAGTAAATTCTTATTGGGGTCATTTTTATTGTGTATGCTTCACCCATGTAAATAAGCGAAAAAGTAAGATAAATTTGCCCCCGTAACGATATAAATTGGTGCGATTCACGAGTATATAGTGAGACAAGTTCATTGAATAGTTTGAAACATCGGCAAACTTATCAATATATTCCTGGTCTATATATATTTACGTTCTTAGAAAGAATGTTAATGAGAGGAATGTGATATCTTAGTTTATTCCTTCCAGATTATATACATATGTACATAGGCATAGTGTGTTCTTGGGAATATATTTATTGAATAGACTTTAACTTTAAAATAATTTTGAGGTAAGTAAAGTAAATTTGCGGCCAGTTTATTCTTTATATAGCATTAACCCATTAACGGCCGCTCAGTATACAAAGAGAAATTTGACAAATAATTTATTATTTGGATTAAAAACACATAAATTAGGACTAATTTACAACCAAAAAGATTTTTTTTTTTTCATTTTCAAGGAAAACAGTACAATTTTACAGTACAGTGAAAATTTTCGAAACATTCGGGTGTAGATGCATTCTACACTTTTTACATAGATAAATAGTATTACTTTTGCACATCCTACATTTTTGCACTATCGTCTCTTTTTGTAATGTGGCCCATATTGTCGAATCTGGTGTCATCTGATAAAGCAAATTTAGATTGATGTCCATGTACTAAGTGACACTGATGTAGCGGTTACTTCACTATTATAAATTATAAATATAAATCTATGTCGGCTTATGCTTTCTCTTGTAATATGCACTTCTTTGTCCTCATCCTTTGACCAATGCATAACAACTTGAAACAGAGTGTAAACCAGACATGCTAATGCTAACATATGCTAATATATTTTTTTTAATCTATGTTATTCATTTCAAAATTGTGACGGTTATTGTGGGATGCATAAATATTTGTAAAATATAAAATGCTCTTAATTACTTTTTTATCAAAAAGAGTGAAAAAACTTCAATATACCCCTAGTAGTAGTAACCCTAGAGATGACAAAACTTATACAAAAACTAATATTGCACTGCAAGATACCAGACGCATGGAGAAACAGCACAATGATACCAATGTTCAAGAAAGGAGATAAAGAAGACCCCAACAACTATAGAGGTATAAATCTACTAAACACCGCACTTAAGCTTGCCACAAAAGTTCTGACCAACAAAATCAATAAACAAACAACTTTATCAGATAAACAACAAGGATTCAGATCCGGAAGATCCTGTGTAGACGCCGTATTTGTACTAAGACAAATCACAGAAAAGGCCATCGAGTACAATAAACCAGCATATCTATGTTTTATAGACCTGACAAAGGCTTTTGATCGCATCGAAGTCGAAGACGTCTTACACCTACTGTATAAAAGAAACATACCAATCAATATTATACAAACCATCGAAAGCATCTACCTTCATAATCAAATACAGATAAAGGCTAATGGAAAACTAACATAATGTATACCAGTAAAAAGCGGAGTCTTTTTTACTTTTACACTTTTATTTAATATAATAATGGATGAAATAATACAAGCAGTACTTTAAGGTCATGGCTACAGAATGGGGAACAAAGAAATCCAAATATTATGTTATGCAGACGACTCCACATTAATCGTCGAGACAGAAGACGAGCTCAAAAGATTAACACATATCTTCAATACAACAGCTAAGAAATACAATACGATAATATCAGCAGAAAAATCCAAATGTATGACAACATTTAAATACCCACTACGGTGTAAAATCGAAATTGATGGGAAAATAATAAAGCAGGAAGCAAGGTTTAGATATCTGAGAATAGATATAACTAGTTACGTAGATGTTGAAGAAGAAGTACGAGAGCAAAGCTTAAAATCAAGTAAAGCGGCGGGTTCTCTTAATGACACAATCCGGAAGAACAAACATCTAATACAAGACACAAAAACAAGAATCTATAAAGCAGCAATTAGACCTATATTAACATACACGGCGTAGACAAGAGCTGACACATCTAAAACGAGATGACTGCTAGAAACAACAGAGATGAAAATACTCCGACGAATATCAGGGAGAAGTCTGTTGGATAGGGAGAGAAGCGAAAACATAAGAAGAGCATGCAATATAGAAGACGTAAATGGATGGGTGACAAAACGAAAGCAGGCGTGGAACGAACACATCAGTAGAATGGCAGAGGATAGAATAATACGAATAGCACGAGATAAGTCACCAAATGGACGAATTTAAACAATTTAGAAGGCTAATATTGAAGAAGAAACAGGCTTTACATACTAGAAGGAAGAAGGGGAAGATCAATGTCTTCCAGATATACAACATCTCATGCTCTACACAGATACTTGCGGAGGGCAAAATCGAAATCGCAATGTACTTGCAAGTATGTTTTACGCCGTGAATACCTCTAATTTTGAATTGATTGATATTAAATTTATTGAAAGTGGCCATGGCTACCTTATTAATTAAAAAATATATATAACGCAAGTTTTGACTTATATTTTACTTTCTATTTTATTTCCACTAGGTGTCACTATTTAAATTATTATCTAACTGTTATTTAACCCTACCTGGAAATAATTATACTATAAATAAATGCGTGAAATTGAATGAATTTAAAGTAAAAGACCCTAATCAGGATTTATTTGGGATGAAGACTTTTTATAGAATACTAAAAAAAGTTAGTGAACAATTGTTCCATGTCCAGAGTTGTAAAAGTCTATGTAGTACAAAGGTGATATGTCCATACAAATTTTAGTAAATCTTTAATTTAGAAATAACTCAAATTATTATTGTAAATATTTTCGTAAGATTGCATTGAGTTAGTAAAATAATTAATAAACAAAATTATATGTAGCACTTGAGTAATGCAATCCGCAAAACTTTATTTTGCATTTTCAAAAAATAGTACTCCGAGGACATAGCACAATTGTGTTCTAAAGTATCGATATGTACTACATAGACTAGGCAAGATCTGTAGAAATTCAGGCCATAATGGACATTTTCCATAGGAAGCTATTTTTTGCTAGAATCTTTTCATGATGTGCCCAATGTCGATAACCACGATATGCGCCAGTCGCAAACCCTGTGCTAAATTTTTTATTTAACAAAATCTGAAAACAATTGAAAATTTCTCATTTTATTGCTCCTATTTTCATATATAATTCGGAAAATATTGTTCCTAAAGAAAAAATTATAGGAAGTTAAAAGTTTCGTTATTCAATTTTACATATTATTTCGTTAGCTAGAAATTAAAATTTTTATGTTTATTGTTGAAAAAATAGCAATAATTGGAAAAAAAAGTACAAAAAATGAAGTTAATCCTTTATATGTTTTCGACTTTCTAAACTTGACTTACAACAAGCTCTATATTCCGCCTAAAAAAACTTTTTAATATGTTTAAAACGTGTGCTAAATTTTGTTAAGATCGGTCGAATAGGTTTTGCATAATAATTTTGCAATCCAGCCTACTGGAAAAAAATCGCAAATTTTCAAATTTTTAGTAGGCCCCAAATGAGGCCCTCAGATAGTTGCAATTTTTTTTAAATATAAAGGAAGGCCCAAACTTTCAAACTCTTTTTGTAAAATTTAAATTGGTTCACTAGAAGAGCCTAGAAATTTTTTTAAAGTTTTAAATATTTTTTAGGCTTATAAACAAATCGAATAACTTTACGAGCTTTAAACATATCAATTTCAAAATTTATACATTAAAAGGCTAAAAAAAATAGTTTCTAGCATTACACAGCAGTATAATACCACTTACAATACACATGTCATTTTCGAATTAAAATATATTCTCAAATCAAATACTGTCATTATTATGATAAAACTGCAGAAATAAATTATTTTTAATGTTAATTATTTTAAAAAGTTTGATTATTACAAAAAAAAATCGTTCGCCATTGTTTTAACAATTCAAATTGTTTATTAACAATTTATAAATACATATTTGTTTACTAAAAGTAACAATTTACTTCAATGTATACATTGCAAGCTCAAAAAAATGCATAAAGAAAAAATGCAATTACTTGTTTACCATACAATTGTTTATTGCAAATTTCCCAATTTGCAATTAAAAATGGTATTTGAAAATATGATATTTGAAATCCTTGTCGTCCAAAACATCAATTCAAAAAACGAGCAAAATTGGTTAACAGGAAACCGAGATAATGCAATTTTTAGCGCGCGCTATGATTTTGAACTCGCCGATTAACATTTCGAGTAAATGTCTCCCACCACCACTTCTCATGCATTCGGAGCGACATTTTACGCGAAAACAGTTTTTTATTTGTCTTTTTTATGGATGTTGCCATGAAGCGCATTACGTAACACTTTTCATATAAAAAGTACTGGACAAGGCGAGGGCATTTGTTTAAAAACGGGCCTCTATCACTTATGGTTACACGGCAAATGTATGCCAACTTTTACCTTCAATATCTCGGCAACCGGTAAGCCAAATGTATCTTTTTTTTAAGAAGCTTATTTTAATGTTCAAGTGTATAAATTTTGAAATTGATGTTTAAACCTTGTAAAGTTATTCAATTTGTTTATAAGCCTAAAAAATGTTTAAAACTTTAAAAAAATTTCTAGGCTCTCCTAGTAAACCGATTTGAATTTTACAAAAAACGTGTGAAAGTTTGAGCCTTCCTTTATATGCAAAAAAATTGCAACTATTAGAGGGCCTTATTTAGAGCCTACTATAAATTTGAAAATTTGCTATTTTTTTCCAGTAGGCTGGATTGTAAAATTATTATGCAAAACCTATCCGACCGATTTTAACAAAATTTAGCACACGTTTTAAACATATTAAAAAGTTTTGCTAGGCTGAATATGAAGCTTGTAAGTCAAGTTTAGAAAGTCGAAAACATTTAAAGGATTAACTTCATTTTTTTGTACTTTTTTTTTCAATTATTGCTATTTTTTCAACAATGAACATTAAATTTTGAATTTCTAGATAACGAAATATTTTAGCTTTAACGTAGCTTCCTATGGAAAATGTCCAATCCAAAACAGATCCCGCCTAACAGTAAACAGGTCCATCAGTACGGTAATCGACTCATCGTCTACGAGTTTTTTCTCCTAACTTACTAACTAAAGTTCACACAGTTTTTTTAAATCTGTGTGAACTTAACTGAATGGAATAAAATTAAAATTTAGTTAGAGAGTTAGTAAAATTGGAGAATATTTTAGTTTTTTGCGGCAACTGTTAAATTGCTTTTATAAGATATACGTACCATAAGATAACTCTCCAAAATCTAACATTGGGATATTTGTTCTTAAAACTGGACATACGACGTTACCTCTAAAACGTTCAAAATTTATATTAAAATTACTAACAGGAAATTACATTCAACGCAGATCTTATGATATTTTTTGAGCACAAAGAATAGCATTAATTTACATTCAATAGCATCCGTGGACAAATATCTAGATTATATTATACCCAACAGATATATATACATCCGTCAATAATAATGGAGGTAAGATGCATAAACTCGGCAGATGTAGGTAACAACCATAGCCTACTATTATATGAAATAAGAATTATCATGAAATACGTCATACTCAAGAGCACCAACACAAACAAAAAATCAAAGTCTAAGGACTAAATACTAAATCTACGAAATATTTATACAGAACAAAAATATCACAAAAGATTGTTAAGAATTAAATATTAAACAAGGGTAACATCGACGGCAGCTGAGAAAAACTCAAAAATAGCATAATTAACGCAACATCAAAACCACTTGGAGAGAGAAAAGTAACGAACACTAACATATCAAACAGTAAATCTCTTGGTTTAGAGAGATCGTGATGATAAAATGTGAAGAAATGAAAAAGGCCTTAAGCGAATCAAACATCAAACGAATACTTTAGTCGGAAAAGTAAAAAGAGAAAACTGAGACAGCTTCCCAAAATAAGTGAAACACGACTTACGGAACACAGAGAGAAATATGGAGAATGATCAAAAGACAAAAAAAAAGAAATGAACAAACTAATCCGAATGAAACACTGAAAACTTTGTTTTCAAACTTCCACAAAATTTATTTTAACTCTTATCACTACAGCTGTTTCGGCTGATTGCCTTTCTCAAGTGATCTATTTTTGGCATGAGTTTACCATTTATAGTCTCTAATGAAATAGGTTGAGAAGGGGGGAACTGTTGTCTCAAGTTGGTCATTCAGAAGTATATCTGTGTTTTTTAATTTGTTGATTTCCATAGATTCTAACAAAGATAGCTTAAGGCCTTTATTTTGAATGTGAAGAATTTTAAATTTGTCATTAAAAGAATGATTATAATCTAGAAGGTGAAGTGCGTATGTCGAATCTGTTTTTCTATTATTGAAAGCCCTGTTATGTTCTGATATTCGTTTATTAAAGTTTCTACCAGTTTGACCGATGTAAGTTTTTGGGCAGTCAGTCGATTACATATACAGGCAAAATAACAACAAAAATAGTCAAACACATAAAAAAGAAAGGAATAACACCAGCTTTTCGAACAAATAACAACCTAGGCAAATATATTAAAAATAACAATGTGGCGACTGTCCAAAAACTTACATCGGTCAAACTGGTAGAAACTTTAATAAACAAATAGCAGAACATAAAATGGCTTTCAATAATAGAAAAACAGATTCGACATACGAACTTCACCTTCTAGATCATAATCATTCTTTTAATGACAAATTTAAAATTCTTTACATTCAAAATAAAGGCCTTAAGCTATCTTTGTTAGAATTTATAGAAATCAACAAATTAAAAAACACAGATATAATTCTTAAAGACCAACTTGAGACAAACAGTTCCCCCCTCCTCACCCTATTTCATTAGAGACTATAAATTGTAAACTCATGTCAAAAATAGATCACTTGAGAAAGGCAATCAGCCGAAACAGCTGTAGTGATAAGAGTTAAAATAAATTTTGTGGAAGTTTGAAAACAAAGTTTTCAGTGTTTTATTGTTACATAAAATGAATTTCCATCAAGTAACGGTCGAATCCATCAATTATTTAATCAGAATGAGACATATTTAGAAATAAACATTATTCTTCTTGATGTGCCTATCCGTTACGAATGTTGGTGATCATCATGACAATCTTTATCTTATCTGCAGCAGAGCGGAAAAGCTGCACAGATGTTGTATTGAACCAGATTCTGAGGTTCTTCAACCAAGATGTTCTTCTTCTTCCTGTACCTCGCTTTCCAAATATTTTTCTTTGCAGGATGGCTTGAAGGAGAGCATATCTGGATTCATTTCGCATAATATGCCCGAAGAAATTTAACTTTCGAGATTTAATGGTGGTCAGTACCTCTCGGTTTTTGTTCATTCTTCTAAGGACCTCCTCATTTGTGACTCGGTCAGTGCACGGAATCTTAAGTATTCTCCGATATAGCCACATCTCAAATGGTTCTAGTTTTTTGCTCATATCTTCGTTCAAGGTCCACGATTCAACACCATATAAAAGGACAGAGAAGACGTAGCATCGCAGCATTCTTACTTTTGTATCAATAGAGAGGTTGTGACTCTTGACGAGGCCCCCATCCGATTGAAGGTGGATCTAGCTTTTGCGATGCGTGCTCTAATCTCCTGGTTGTTGGTCCATTCTTCATTTATTATGGTGCCCAGGTAGTTGTAGTGCGTCACTCTTTCTACAGGAGATTGGTTGACGTAGAGTTGACCTTCTGTTATCCTTTTCTTGCTAATTATCATAAGATTTATCTTTTTAACGTTTATATTGAGTGAATAAACATGGGCAGACTAATTTCGATTCCGAGTTGCCAAAGTTGTCGATAATAAACCACCAATACAGAAGTGACCACAAATGAAAAAATAAACATTGATGGGGGAAGAAGTGACGAAAATGAAAAATGGGAAATCACTTAAAGAGAAAGTATCTACCAATTAACACAATAAAAGTAAAAGTAAAAGTAAAAGTAAAAGAAGAACTAACTGACCCAATTAAAGCTGGCAAAGAAATAAGACAGCGGGATTCCCTTAGCCTCTATTGTTCAACATGAGCATGGATGAAATAATAAAAAAAGTAAAAACAAAAAAATATATCAAATGGGAGATAAACAACTTAAGATAAACTGCTATGCAGACGATTTAATACTATTCCCTCGAAGTGCATGGTTATAACAGAAAATTTACTAAAATGTAAATTTTGACCGGAGGGTTAGAAAATAAATGGTGGAGATTAAATATCTCGGTATCGCACTATCTAGATACGAAAAGCTGAAGTGGGAAATCAAGTGAATAGAGCAAGCTGGCAAATAAAAATATCGGGAAAGCAATGAAAGACAGAATTTAAAAATCAGTTATCAGACTAATAATGACGTACGCGAAAACACCATCCAACATAGACAGAACAAAAATAATGCTACAAACAGCAGTGATGAAAATCCTTAGAAAAATCGATGGTAACACTAAGTGACAGAGCTAGAAGTACAAATATAGAAAACATCAAGGACTAACTTAGAAATAAAAGAAGAGGATGGAACGATCATATAAATCGAATGACAACAGATAGAGTAGCAAAGATGGCGATAAACTGTTCCCCAATTAATAGAAATATGATCATTGGGAAGATCACGAAAATGATGAAATGACAACACATTTGAAGGCACATTGAAAACAAACAGTTATATCTATATAAAAAGAAGAAGAAGAGCAACACAAAGAAGAAGCAGACTAAGAAGGTAATGACATAAATTTTAGAAAAGGTAGAGAGATTGATAAAAAATTGGCAGGTTTCAGATTATATGCTTAATTCACAGAACATTGAAGAATATGGTAAGCAATTATACAAGGATAGAACTTTATAAAACAATAACCTATTCTGCTAATAGATATAAAATCTGGATAATGATGCAAAGAGAAAAGTCTAGAATCTAAGAAATCTTAATAAGATCTCTCAGAAATATGACAGACACTACAAGACTTGATATACATCGAAAAGAAGACGTAAAACAAACACTGAATATATACTCGGTTAATGATAATAAAAAATACAGAACAAGATGAAAACAAAATATAAACAAAGAACTTAAAAATCTAATCATTAAACAAATACTAAATTACAAACTAAATGACAGAAGTGTAAAGGTCGATTTATACATATCCGTTGTTTCACATACGATGCACGATCTTTTTTGTTTTCGTCTTTTCTGCTCTTGCGTTTCCTTTTCATCAATTAATAATGCCAACATGGAGAGATCTTTTATCTAAGCTGGCATATTTTTAACGGTCTTTTACACAGAAATATGTAATAACGTTTTCCTCTTTTATTCGGCCCAGTACGAACACTGCCACAACGCGGTTGTATGTAAATATAACATAAAAAATACTTGGACTCGGCACTGACATGAAACGGACACGGCACGGATATGTATAAATTGACCTTTTTGCGGTAGGTCAATTTTACGGTGTTGCAAGGTTAAGATTTTAAAGTAAAATGCAAAAAAAAGTTTTATTTTTTCTAAAATGGTCTAAAAGAGTTCTTTAGAATGTCTTCTAAAACGTTCTAAAATATTCGTGAAATTGTGCCTTATCGTCCAATAATTCTCTGTATATTTTTAATTCTCCTTCGGTTTGATTTTTTTTACATAGGATGCACACTCCATCTTCTTTGTTTTCCTCTTTTCTGCTCTTGCTTTTCCTTTTCATCAAATTATAATGCCAACATGGTGAGATCTTCTATCCAAGCTGCATATTTTTAACTCTCTTTTACACATAAATATGTAATAACGTTTCCCTCTCTTATTTGGCCCGGTACGAACACTGACACAACACGGTTGTATGTAAATATGTATAATCCCTCCAGAAACTGACAGAGAATGTAGCGTAGAAGTAATTTTAAACTGTTTGTCCTCGTTTTAGTGTAGTGTTTTGTATAATTTATGTTAGTTTTAATGTTTTCACATCCTACGCTTGCCGGATAGTTCTTATTTTGACGAAATGCCCCTGAAGATGCTATTTTAAGCGAAAGTACTTGGGCTAGATTTAATTAACTTGTGCTCGATAATAGCCTTATTTTCAAAGTTCATTTATTCGAGCATTCAACCTCATTTCATTTTTCATTTAAATATGTATAACATTAAAAATACCCGGACTCAGCGCTGTCACGGAACGGACACGGCACGGATATGTATAATCGACCTTTCAGCGCTTCATGAAAACACGGAGCGAAATATGATGTCAGAATATTTAGTAAATGCCTAAATCCTAAAATGAGGAAATTTTAATACATCTATTTTATTGAGGCTGCTAATGCACTCATATTTTTTATCTTTTATTATAATTTACTTTATTTCACTAATAATAGATCACTAATAGACACTTAAATAGTATGTTTCACTTACACTAATAAAAAATTAATAATTTCTTTAGATTCTCTTATCTCAAATTCCACCTTTTCGACAAATTGTCCTTGATATGTAGAAGAGAATTTAATAACAAACGATCTACATGAGTCAATTTTGCTTAGATGTTGAAATGGAGGTGAGCATGTAATTTTTCCGCCAAATTCTGTCTCTTTGGGTTTAAAAACTACCGTAGCCGGGATACAACCTATGTAAAACCATAGTAATTTATGCAACACGCTTCAGTAATTCTATGTCAAAATGAGATATATATACACACATACATATATACAGGGTGGAAACTACTAACGGAATAAAGCTGTATGTGTCCTTATTTGAGAATATTGTAAAAAACGCCGAAACTCATCAATTTTTAAATTCAAATGTGCGATTTTTATACAAAAATCTAACCGTACACTGCGCTATGACTTAAAAATGCATAAACCATAATTTGTGCGTTGCGTGGTGATTCATTAAAGCGTTGTACCCTAACATAAAGATATACATACTGATTTTAGACAAGGAAAGAGAGGAGACACGTAATCCTATGGAATTGACTGAAGCCTAAATTGGCACCAATCGGCACCAAAAAAGTTGCCAGGTCATATTTTATTTCTTCAGTAAATTGAGAATAGTGGATATATATCAATAAATAGACTTTTTTTCATTTATAATTAAACACTGATCGCCAGATCATCAGACCCAAAATCAGATAGACCACGTACTGATTGATTTAAGACATCATCATCATCTTGGTGCTACAGCCCTTAGAGAGCCTCGACCTTCTCAAGCTTTCTACGCCATTCTGTTCTGTCCCTTGCTTGAATTTTCCAGTTGCCGACTCCGATCTTCTCCGCATCTTGTGTTACCCCATCCATCCACCTCAGCTTTGGTCTACCCCGTCGTCTCATTCCCACAGGTTGCGCTGTTAGAATCTTTTTTATCATGTTCGATTCAGGGGCCCGGGTTACATGTCCTGCCCACTGCAGGCGGTTTCGCTTAATTATAGTGGTAATATGTTTACCACCAAACGTATGCCTGTAGATATTCTGCAGTTCGAAGTTATATCTACGCCTCCATATTCCGTTCTCACAGACCGCTCCAAATATCTTGCGTAGCACATTTCTTTCAAAAATGGATAGAGCGGATTCATCTGTTTACGTTAGCGTCCATGCCTCTGATCCGTATGTGAGAACGGGACTATCAGTGTTCTATACAACCTTATACGAGTTTTTTGAGACAGACGTTTGTTAGCTAGGTACTTTGATAGACCATAATAACACCTGTTTGCAATTATTATTCGCCTTTTTATTTCCTCAGATGTATTATTATTGGGGTTAACCGATGTCCCTAGATATATGAACTCATTGACTGCTTCGAAAGTTTGGTCATTGATGATTAAATTTGTGTCAACATTTCCAGCTCTCGTGTTTGTGTTAGTCGCCATGAATTTGGTTTTATTTTGATTTATATGTAACCCCATTCGTTCTGCTGCTGCTACTAGCTCGGTTAGGATTTCCGCAGTTCTCGCCCTAGTTCTTGTTATAATGTCCACGTCGTCTACATATGCTAGAATTTGGACTGATCTATTAAATATTGTTCCCCTGCTATCTAAATTAGCGTCTCGTACAACTTTTTCTAAGGCGACATTAAAAAGCTGACACGCCAGCGCATCTCCCTGCCTTAACCCCCTATGTATTTGAAATGGGGTTGACGAGTCGTTTTGAATTTTTACTGCTGATAGCATCTTCGCCATTGTCACTTTTATCAAACATATTGATAGTGACGTCATTCATTCTAGTAATTTGTTTGCATTGGTTACATTTTAAAATAACATGCTAGATGCGTGCTAATTGCTACTTGCCTCTGCCACGCCAGTTTGGTGGGCGCTCTCACTGAGACATGTATATGTAGACAGTATCAGTCAGTTACAGACAGTCGTTTCAGCCAGGATGGGTGAAGCACCACTGCTTTTCTTGGTAGCTTCTGAAGTAATTTCTCTCTTATCAAATCATGCCCAGGAGCTTTCTTAGGATTTAGCATTTTTATTTGTTGTCGAACCTCTGTCGGAGTAAAAGTTGTCAGAGAAAGAGATAGTTGACATAGAGATTCGAGATACATTCTTATTCTTATATATAATTTTCATCGTAATTAGTATGGTGCTGCGAATACAGTTGCAAGATGCTTTGTGAATATTGTTGTTATTTTTGTTATCTGCATTTATATTACCAATGGTAGCATCTCTATAACTGATTATGTTGAAATTATGAGCATGATGTCGGGTAGGTATATTTACATTGGTATTGTTGACAGGATTTTGAGTGGTGATTTGTCATGGTATCTAACATTTAGTAGTTCACGATAAACAGAACATCCTCTGTAATTGCATCGCTTATTTATGAAAGGCCTCTTGTCACAAAATGTAAATTTTGGAAAACAAGAAAAAACTGTTTAGTTTTATTAAAAACGATTTTATACTTTTTTGATTGTTTGGAAACATTTTAAGGACCTTAAAACTCAAAATAAATCATGTTAGTTACACTTTTATAAAAACACGTTTATAAACAAAACCGAGTATTCCTTCTATGCGAAAGTAAGATGGGTGATAAGCAATTTGGATTTAGAAACGGTCTAGGAACTAGAGAGGCACTATTCTGTATGCGCGTTCTATTACAAAAAAGTTGTGAATTCCGAAAGAATGTTTATGTTTGTTTCATCGACTTCGAGAAGGCGTTCGACAGAGTCCAACACAATACACTTTTCGACTGCCTACGGGCAGCAGGACTTGGCCACTATGATATAAGACTGCTGAAATACTTATATTACAATCAAGTAGCCTCTATCCAAATTGGAAACAGTCCCACTGAAAAAATACCCATCAAACGTGGAGTACGGCAGGGTTGTGCTTTGTCACCCACTCTTTTTAATCTGTACTCTGAAGAAATCTTTAGGGAGGCTTTGGATGACAGACAAGAGGGAGTAAGACTAGGTGGAGAAGTAATCAACAATATTAGATACGCTGACGATACAGCCATTCATGCAGAAAGTTTACAAGATCTCCAAACATTACTAAATCTAGTCAGCGAAGCAAGTTATCGGAGAGGCCTTAAAGTCAACATTTCAAAGACAAAGTGGATGGCAGTTGGAAAGATCCATATAGCTAAAGGTCTGCTTTCTCTTAATTGAGAAGAGATAGAAAGGGTAAATCATTTCAAATACCTTGGCAGCTGGTTAAATGTAAGTTGTGACTCTGATAAAGAGATAATATCCAGGATCGAAATATCACGTAAGGCTTTTATGACCTGGAAACCAGTTTTATGCAACAGAAACCTGTCAATAAATATTCGTAAGAAGGTCCTGAAATGTTATGTGTGGTCGATCCTATTGTATGGTTGTGAGACATGGACGTTAAAAACCACAATGCTAAACAAGTTAGAAGCATTCGAATTGTGGTGCTATAGACGAATCCTAAAGATATCGTGGGTTTCGCACACTTCCAATGAAGATGTTCTTCAAATGATAAATTCAGAACGTCTGCTTATAAACACCATAAAGAGGAGAAAAACAGAATACTTCGGCCATATAATTAGAGGACCTAAATACCATTTACTTCGCCTTATAATACAAGGAAAAGTGGAAGGAAAGAGATTAATTGGTCGAAAGAAACTTTTATGGCTGCGTAATATTAAACAATGGTGTGGTTTCACAGTAGAAAAATTATTTCGCGCAGCAGCCGACAGAGAAAGGTTTCAGGAAATTGTAAACATGATGACGACCAACGTCTGAATACGGACACGGCACCCAAAGAAGAAGAAGTTACACGTTTTAAAATCAATATTGTACTGTTTTTATTATTATTGAAAAGAGCTGACAAAAGGCCTTTCAACAACAAAAGTGTTGTTTTACGGGGAAAGTTTTGATTGGTGGATGAATTTACACCGTGTTTATTTATGATTAATATTACTTTATTCAAACAGTTAAGACAATACAATTAGATATAATTAATTGCCATTTCATACATTTTTGCTCATTTTTTGTTTGCAACTGTAGGTCATTGGGAAAGTTCATTGTAAAACCACTTGTGTTCTTGAGGGACATACTGCAAAAGTTTCTTCAGGTCACTAGTTTGTTCTTGAAAATTGGTACCTTTGATTCATGAGTTTTTCTTGCTAATAAGGCAGGGAGGATGGCTCAGCAATATACAGTGGATTAGATAATAATTTGAAGGTTTTGCTAATAAATCCTCCTATAAAATCAGATACAACAACCACTCCTTTTTTAAATCTTTCGCAAGTAAATTCATGGTAGGAAGAAATAGTAAACATTTCCTTTTTTTGTTTTTCTCAATTTTACTTTCTTTTTAAACAGAATTTTTCTTGTAAAATTTGGGTCACAAACTTTGAAAGTCCAAAACATTTGCATTTTCCACTAAATCCACATTAAATTTCCTCTGTTTTGTAGATGAAAGTATTATTTCTGTTAGATCTTTCAAAGTGTAGAATCTATCATGTTTCCTTAGGTTTTGTTTTACAAGGCCGAAGACCCTGTCACATGGCAAATAGGAGTGATCCCATATTGGAAGTCTACAGACAACTGTTTTTTATCTTCCACTATCTGTAAGTATCATTAAAAACCTTATCATCGTATGATTTTTATTTTGTCCTGTAAATGAAATAATTATTTTGTTTATAAGCACAATTCATCTACATTAGCTGGAACATTCTCGTCAATATACTTCTTAAAAAAAGAGCAAACTTCATTAGTGTTGTGGTGGTGGTATAAATAAAATATTGCAGTGTCATTATTACTATTGTGTATGCCAAACGGATAGACGGACAGTTGTCTAAGGTAATATATTTCATGCACTGGAATCGTGGGAAGCGATATCTTCGCCATATAATCAAAACATAAAAGCATCGTAATTTCATGTTCGGCATAGTATTCTTTCTTCTGTTGAAGGGATGAATAAAACTTTTTGTTACGCCTCTTATGCACAAGTAGCTGCGCAACTGCAACTCGTTTTGCTGTTTCATTTAACTGAGGATTTTTTATTGTAGTATTGAACAGTTCACATTCACAACCAGTGTCAATTTGGGGCCTTAGAAATCTGTAATTGAAATGTTCTTTGAAAAGTTTGTAGTAAAAACTATACTTCACGTTTAACTCGTTATATTTCTCTTGAAACAAATTGAACATTTTTTTTATGTCCAGTGGAAATGACTGAATCTGTTCTTTTACAAGATCCGTATAATCTAGTGGAAGGGTCTTCCGATTATTCTGTTGGCCTCTTAAATCTCTAGGAGACTCACCTTTCACAAGAAGATCTTGCAGTCTTCTTACTCTTTTTTCACCAATACCGTGCAGACAAAAAAAAGCCTTTTTTCAGATGTTGATCCTTTTCTCACGAAGCAAGGCATAGCATTTAAAAGAACTTTTATGCTTAACAGAATGTTTGGGCTTAAAAAAACATCTTCAACTTCATCTTCGGAAGTGTTTTGTTTTAATCTTGACCTTCTGTTCTGTACGGGCCTACTTCTATTAAGGACTGGTAAAACGGTCTTGCTCCTTTTTGTTTGAAAAATTTACCCCACTGCATAAAATTTCAACTTGGTCCTCTTCACATAACTTATCGAAACATCTCAATCTGCATCTGCAAAATTTGAAAAAGGTTACTATTGTAGAACTTACTTAGGTTTTAAAACTGACTTCTAATTATCATTTTATTTCCTGCCTAAAATGGTACATTACAAGATAAAACGTAACTTACGAGCATGATAATCCTGTTTTGCGTGGTTCAACAATTATGTATTTCATGAACTCTTTCAACAATCTGTATGTTCATATCCTCTGTAATTTATATATTCTTGATCATGACATCTAGCCTTCTTAATTCGATTAACCTTATATTCTTCTTGGTAACGAACATCCCTCTTTCGCTTCTTGCTATCTGCTTCTATTTCAACGACACTTCACTCTATGACATTATTTCAAAACATAAGTTAAATCTCTTTAACAATAACTGAAGAGAAATATTTTATTTTATTATTTAACAGTTGATTATAACATAAAAAAACAAGAGGTTAATTATTAATCTCCAAACAGTGAATATCTGTTAACAATCAGCTAACCGCGCAATGTAGCCAACAGTGCTTTTATTTATGAAAAGCCCCTTGTCATTGACACAAGGCTTTTCATATATAAAAAATATTTTTAAACTAATATATCTGATAAAGGAATAACAAGACATGATGCTTTTCATAAGCAAACGATGTGCGAACATATGGGCTATCACTTTCTAAGTTAAACGAAAATTTAAAAAAAGTGACATGAGGCCTTTCCTAAATAAGCGATTCAATTAGAAGGATGGTCTCCGTTGCAGTTAGTGCAAGTTGCTGGCGTGTTTTTTGGTTTATTGCAGTTCTTTGTGTTGTGTGATCCAGCGCATTTTACACAATCATACGATTTTGTACAGTACGTTTTAGTGTGACCATATTCTTGACATCGTGTACATTGTGGTATATTTCTTTCTCGGTGGTTTAACCCTTATTTTGCAATGTTGTATATACTGTAGTTCAAATATTTCTTTGTTGTTCATTTGAGGCTCGAGGTCTACAAAAAATAAGGGTAATGGTTCACGGCTCAATCTGTGTCTGACATTTGTAACATTCCTTACCTTATGACCCTTTTTCTGGATTTCCACTTTTATTTCATCTATCGGAAAAGAGTGATGTAGATCTCGAATAACTGCTCTGTATGCTCTGTCTTCCTTAGGTTGGTATGTATGGTGGACGATATTTTTCTCTCGTACGTGATGTATTAGTTTTCATTCGTATTTTCATTTCATATTTTATTTTGCATTGACTGGATAAATAAAAATTTATTTATTTACCAATAATCAATTTAAATATACCAAATTTCAAAAAGACTAATATTTAGTTAGCCCAATTACAATTATCTTTAGAAAACCGCTAAAAGTTAATATTTTTCGGGGAGAATCCCAAACTTCACATTAAGTTTGACAGATATTTTGCCATTTAAAAAAAACTATTACACCTAGGTATAGGACATCCAATATACCATTTAAAAAAGGAAACTTTGTTTAATATTACGGTTGATTTATATACATGGAATTCCATTTATACTATATAAAATTATTATCCATATTATTTAAAATACGCACCCACATTACGCATTGAACAATCTTATATTAAAACTGTAAATTTTAAACACTCTGTAAACAGACGTTTAATTGAATAATCAATAATCAATAAGTTGAGAATAGGTCAAATAAAGTTGAAAAAACTCTAGGTAACTTTGATATAGCACAATTTATTGGGACACCCTGCACATTTCAAAATAATTTTAACATGTAGCTTTTATCAACTTACAAACAGTTAATGTAGATTTTTTTTTAAATATTTCACACTTTCGCCAATTTCGCCGAATAATAAACAAGCAGAATGCCCACTCTCAAATGCCGCCTTTGAAGTTTTTCAGCACGCGCGCCATGTTTTAGAAGGAAACACATAACACAGACATATGATTTGTGAGGTTATGTAATTGTTTATATTTATGTTTAATTATATAATATTTATCTTATAATATTTAACAATGTTAATATAATTGTATAGTATGTCTAAGATTACCGTAAGTTAATTAAACCGGGTTAATTTTTCTATGCACACACTACATAAACAACACTGGTTCCCTTTAAAACATGGCGGAACATCTGCGCGTACTTAATTTTCCATGGAGAGTGGGCATTCCGATTGTTTATTATTCTGTGCTTTCACTGTTATCTTCCGTCCCGTTAGTGACTTGCTGTATGTGTGTATATATATTCATTACAATATAATTACTTCACAATCACTGTTAATAATCTCTTACCATCATTTTTTACCACAACCTGATACTCGTGAGTTACCTCCAGAAAAATTGAACCTATATCCAATTTGGTCACGTTGAAAATGACGCTGGGACCTTTTCCTATACCGGATAGATTTACTGCTAGTCTTTCAGACCTTCCAGTTATGTCTAGATAAGCAGTACTCAGGTAAACTTCGTTTGCAGTGGGAAAGAATATTACCATAAAGTCCATAGATTGATGGGGAAATAATTTTCCCGTCTAAAAAATATTACAGTAAATAAATTTCTTTTTTCTCATTTTTTTTATTCTTACCATAGGAAGTATACTGAATACTTCACTTTTGTACAAAAACTCAATTTCTTCTTCTAAGTTATTCTCAAATTTTCTGGTGCATATGTTATGGCCTTCGTGATCAATAGTGTCCATATATTCTAATTTATTAGATTTTCTCTTTTCCATATCGACGATGTGCTTCACATAGCCCACAAACCGTTGTCTTTGTTCTATTTCTTGCAGGTCCGTTGCATATTTTTTCCACTAGAAATTCAATATTAATGCAAATAATCAAATGTGAAGATGCTAGAAAACTTAACACCTACACATTTATAAACGTTTATAGTAAGTACAGTCAATATTCTGGAAAATGAACGTAATTTAGAATCGCAAAATTACTTTAACCGAATTACAGATCAACCAACAAATAACGGCAAAAGTTGTGTAAATATTAAGGACTCAGATGTAATCTTGGAATGTTAAAGTAACTGTTAAGTCGTACGTCTTTTGCGATTTGTTTTATATATGAGAGTGTTAAACCCAAAGTGGTGTAAGTCATGTGGTATGCATTATAAGAAATAGAAAGTGTTGTTAAAATCTTTATAATAAATTACGCAACAGATTATTAGCACTTTTATTGTTGCAAACTACAAAAAGATATCTTTGTCTAAATGGGATAATCATTGAAAATTATGTATGTAGTTCTGTTGTATTTTATAGGGTTAAAGTGACTTATATTACTGCATTTGAAGAAACTCCTTTTGTTGTAAATTGAAATTAAAAAAATAGAAAAAAATTAGCCACAAATTTTATGTTTTATTCAAATAACTACACTAATACAATCATAAAGTTCTTAATTTGCAATAAAACATCTCTGTCATGTTCAATATCAACTAAATCCAGTGGGCCTATATCTTGTGTTTCTGTTGTTTCAACAAGTTCTTGAAAGTAAGAATGGTTGATAGGTGGAATGTATGAAAGCAAATCAACATGTCCCTCTTCTTTTCCTTAGCTACAAGTCTTGGTCCAGGGTATAAATTTTCCAGATCAATTTGTATGAATGATAGTGACCTTCCTGGTTTTGCTGACTTTAGACATAGAACAGAAAATGGGTCTCGTTAAGAGTTTCCTTATAATATAGCATTAATAGTTCTTCCTTCACTAACCGAATCCATTCGAGCGAGCCATGACACCTGTTCATTTGTGACATTTTTTTTTTCCTGTTTGTAATTGCTGCTTCAAGATTTTTCGTAGACTTAAAGTCTTTGCCTGACATTTGTGTTAAAAAAAAGCTTTCCTCTTTCTTGATTTCGCGATTATGGAGCGTCAATCAGTCGGAACATAAATGACCTTACTTCTTGCGTAAGATTCTTCTTCTTCTTCAAGTGCCCTGTCCGTTGCGAACGTTGGCTATTAACATGGCAATTTTGATCTTGTTTGCGGCGCTTCTGAATAGTTCGACCGATGTGAGCCCGAACCACTTCCGCAGATTTTGGAGCCAGGAGTGTCTGCTCCTGCCTGACCCTCGCTTACTGTCTATTTTTCCCTGGACAATCAATTGTAGCAGACGGTACTTATCGTGTCTCAATATGTGGCCTAGATATTCAAGCTTTCTTTGTTTAATTGTATTCACGATGTCTTTATCCTTTCCGATTCTTTGGAGTACCTCTATGTTGGTGACATGTTCGGTCCAGGATATAGGAAGAATGCGTCGGTACACCCACATTTCGAATGCTTCTAGTTTTCTCGTAAGCGTCTCCGTCAGCGTCCAGGCCTCCACGCCATACAGCAAGATCGGAAAAATGTAACATTTAACTATACGTAGTTTTAGGGGAAGAGACAAATCCTTGCTTATGAGGAGCTTTTTCATATTGCTAAATGCTGCTCTAGCTCGTTCTATTCTTGCCTTAATTTCTATGGTCTGTTCCCATTTTGCATTTACGTTGGTGCCAAGGTACACATAAGATTCTACATGGTCAATTAGTATGTTACTTATCCGTAATTGTCGAGCAGGTTGTTGCTTTTTGCTTATCAGCATCCACTTTTTCTTCTTGAAGTTGAGGCTCAGGCCGTATCCCTGAATAAAGTCTTTCCATTACTTGTTGTAATTCGTCTATGGTACTGGCAAGGATCACCGTGTCGTCGGCATATCTTATATTGTTCGTTAACTCGCCGTTTATTTTTATGCCCTCATTTGCATTTTCCATACATTTGTTAAATATTTCCTCGGAATACATATTGAATAGAAGTCGGGATAATATACACCCCTGACGGACACCTCTTTTGATCTGCACACTTTCAGTGAGTTCGTTGCCAATTTTTGCTCTTGCTGTTTGACCCCAGTATAGGTTTGCCACAATTCGAATGTCCTTGTCGTCAATACCTGTCTTTCGCAGAATACCTATTAATTGTACAAAGCACAAATACACGTCCTTATTAACGTCTCTACACCGCTGTATAAGCACCTGGAGAGCGAAAATTACTTCTCTAGTTCCAAGTGCTTTCCGAAAACCAAACTGCGATCTATCAATATTTGACTCACATGTATCATATATTCTTCTATGAATGATCTTAGTGAACGCTTTAGTGACATGATTGATCAAGCTTATAAGCCGGTAGTCATCACAAATCTGGGCATTTGGTTTCTTCGGGATTGTAATAAATGTTGACTGTAGCCAGTTCTCCGGGATTTTACCGCTATTATATATGTTGTTAAAAAGTACAACTAGATTATCAAGGAACTGTTTGTCTGATTTACATAGGATCTTTAATATTTCGCAGGGTACATTGTCCGGGCCTGCTGACTTATTGTTTTTTAGTGCTGCAATGGCATCTTCTATCTCCGATTTAAGGATTGAAGGGCCTGTTTCTCCTTCTCCATATAGGTGATCATCAGTCCTGTCAGATGCAAATAATTTTTCTATGTATGATTTCCATGTTTTTAAGATCGTTAATGGCTCCGAGATAAGATTTTCATCGCTATCTTTTATGCTGTTGGGTGACTTATTGAATTTCCTCTTGTTTGTCATCGATTTTATTTTTTTGTGCATATTGTAACTGTCGTATTTTCGTTCGTATTGTTCTATTTCCCTGCATTCGTTGGAAAACCATTTTTCTTTGGCTTCTCGAATTTTCGTTCGTATGGTTTTGTGGATCTGCTGGTATTTTTCTGCATTTTTATTCTTGAATTTACGTCTTTCATCCATCATATCCATTATCTCTTCAGACATCCATTCTTTCTTTTCCGTCGGTCACGCTTTAATAGAGTCGCACATGTTGTTTGGATTGCTTCCCTCGATTTATCCCATCTCTCTATTATGTCCGACGTGTTCTCGTTAATGTCCTTTATTTTCTTTCCTAGTTGTTCTCCTACTTTTATTTCGGTTTCTGGGTTAGTGAGTTTTTTAATATCGATTGTGTTTAAATTAGATCTTTTCTCTAGCCGTTTTACTCTCATGACCATTCTGCATACCAACAAATTGTGGTCCGTAGGAACATCGGCACCTGGGTACGTTTTTGATGATTTTATCATGTTTTTATATCTTGTTGGTACTGCTATATAATCTATCTGAGTTCTAATGATGTTGTCAGGTGAGTCAGCGGGGGATTTCCATGTGTAAAGTCGACGTTTGGGGAGCTTGAAGAGTGTATTACTTAACAGCAGGTTATATTCCTGGCAGAAGCATATAAGTCTATCACTTCTATCGTTTCTCTCTCCTAGGCCAAAGTTTACCACGATCTCATTTACCTTGCCTCTGCCAACCTTTGCATTGAAATCTCCCATCACTATTGTTACTTAATGTTTTTTTTGTCATTTTCATCAGACTTCCCAGTTGTTCGTAGAATTCTTCGCTGGTTGCCTCATCTTTATCTGCCGTTGGCGCGTATACCTGTAATATGTTAATATCCACCGGTGTTGCTCGAATTTGTAAAAGCATCATTCTATCTGAATGGGGAGTGAAAGATTTTACTGCCGAATTAATATGTGGGGCAACTACTAAGATTCTATGGATCCAAAATAAGAATCATTAGTAAGATAAGAGTGACCACTTACCATAAATTTATGGTAAATAATTTTGGTGTTATCACTGCTTTGAAGCCATCTCAAATTCAAACTTCCAATTTCGATTCTGACCTGTGCAAGTGTCACTATACATGGTGACATCTCTTGTAGTAATATGTTTTTTAACACAAGAACTTATTTCTTGCGAACCACGTGACGTAATTGTCCCATCCCATGTGTACATAAAGCCTAAATCGGTTGATAGCCCATGATATCCTAGATTGTAGACGTACATGTTTCTTTTGTAATAAGCCACAGAAGTGGTGAGAACAGGAAAGGGTAGAGCTTTCTGCAAGTCAAAAGTGAAGGCATAAAACAATTGTTCCTGCTTTGACTTTTCTGTATCTAATTTCATAGATGTTCGAACATCCCTTTCGAAGATGAAGTTTATGTTGTACTTCCAAGTTGTGTCTTGCTGTCCCATCTTCTAAAATGAACATTTCTATTTTGTGCTTGTCACATTTTGAACACGTGTCTTTACGTGGCGCATGAAAGTGCAAGTTAAAGTCATTGTTAAAGCATATACGATAAATTGGCTCTTTAAGAGTTAAAACATTTTTCTCTGTGCAGTACTCCCTATATAATTTATACATAAGACGTATATTAAAGTGAGGAGGTAAATATTTTCTATTTGGATTTTGAGCTCTAGTATAATGAGGGGAATGATGAAATCTGTTTCCGGACAACACTCATTTTTTCATCAGTAATTTTATTTATGGGTAGTCCACTTCCCGTTCGTCTTATCCTGGTTGATCTTCTATTTTTAATTTTTTAAGTGCTCTGATCACCAGCCATCTGAAATTTGGAAAGTGTGAAGGAAATACTTTTTACATACTTTAACAGTAGTTCCACCAACTTGAATGTAAAATCGGTTGCATGTTGACTTGGGCAATCTTGATCCAGTTCTAGGGCGCCTAAGTTTAGGCGAGATTTGTTTAATCAACCCACATTAAATACATTCTGACAAGAAAATGACCTTAAGTTCCAAAATGTTATAAACACATTCTTGCGTGACTCTTCTGATACCTATTCTACACATTTCCTCTTCATTTCTTGCTTTTTACTCTCATGTTTAAGCCTCTTTTTACCTCGTTTTGAAAATTCATTTTGTCTTTTAACATCTTCTCCTTTTGTAACCAAAGAAGATTATTAGATTGTTATGCAAATACATTTTTAGGTTAGGCTTATTTAAATATTATAT